AAAAACAAAACAAAGCAAAAAAATGTAGAAACGTTTCGTCTCTCATCCAAGAGACTTCTTCAGTCTGAGGAGCTGTATTCAGCTCAGTCTCTTAAATAGCACCTTCTCAGAGTGGATCAACCAGTTTGCTGCTGACAACCAGAACCAGCTGATCACATGCTCAAGAAGGACCATCAGCCTAACAATGGATCATTAGCACCTGATGGCTGTTTACTGTTCACAGAGGGCTGAGTGATACTAGCAATCACAGCATTGTAAGAGGGGGACAGTTGAACATGGAGGCTCCACCCCTGTTTAATGATGGACGGTTTCTTTTCACAAAGATGACCTCCTTTACTCCTCTCTCAAACCATCGTTCCTCTCTGTCCAGGATGTGAACATCTTCATCCCTGAAAGAGTGACCGCTGGCCTGGAGATGAGTGTAGACCTCAGAGTCCTGGCCTGATGATGTTGATCTTCTGTGCTGGTCCATCCTTTTGGCCAGTGGCTGTTTAGTTTCCAGACATGAGGGTTGGTCCGCGGTCTGAACGAGCCCTTTCGAAGAAGCCTCGCCTTGGGTCACGCGGAAAACAGTCACGCGGCACATGACGGCGGTCGAGGCGGCGGATTGGATGACATCCGTTCAAAACATGACGCATCACTTAAACGCACGTCCACTCCACGAACGTTACGCAGAGTGGCTAAAAACATGCTCGCCGGACAAATGGATGGACAGGGTGTTATGCAAAGGCTACACGCTGCAATTTGCAACCCGACCTCCTCCGTTCGGAGGAGTTTTAGAGACGGTCCTGTCATCACCAGACCAAATCTCATCCCTAAATGCAGAAGTCCAAGAGCTTCTGATAAAAGAAGTAATCTCCAGAGTTCCCAACGGAGAGGAAAACACAGGGTTTTACTCTCGCTACTTCCTGGTTCCAAAACGGACTGGAGGGATGAGACCGATTCTGGACCTGTCAGCTTTCAACAAGGCGATCATGGACAGACCGTTTCACATGTTGACAACCAGACAGCTGTTGGACAACATCCAGAGAAACGACTAGTTTGTTTCTATCACCTAAAAGATGCTTATTTTCACATACCGATCATCCCAAAACACAGAAAATTTCTGCATTTCGCCTTTCAGGGGATGAAGTATCAGTACAACAGGCTGCCGTTCGGGTATTCCCTCACGCCTCGTACATTCTCAAAGTGTGTGGAGACAGCCCTGCACCCATTACACAGAGCAGGGATGAGAGTTTTGTTTTACCTGGACGACCTGCTGCTGCTGTCACGCTCCAGACAGGAAGCAGTGATGCAGGCTCAGGTGTTGACATCACACCTATTGAATCTGGGCTTCGCCATAAATTTGAAGAAAAGCTCGATTTTTCCGCCCCAGACAATTGTTTATCTGGGTGTGGAATTAAACTCAACCACCATGAAAGCTCGTTTATCACAAACGAGAATTGACACTTTAAAAAGTCAACTCCGCTATGTAAGACCTGGCAGAGTGGTAACAGCTGTCTCTGTCATGAAGCTGTTAGGAATGATGTCATCAGCTCACACAGTGGTTCCGCTGGGTTTGTTTCACTTGAGACGCCTCCAGAGGTGGTTTGTGCGTCTGCGCGTGGATCCAGTAAAACAAAAGAGATGGATGATCACCGTTCCCCCCTCCGTGAGAGCAGAACTCCGACACTGGGGAAACACCCTGTCTCTGTCGGAGGGAGTTCCCGTCAGCAGACCCACGTCACACGTGTCAGTCTTCACGGACGCGTCGCTGTCAGGCTGGGGGGGGACATGCCTATCTCAAGCAGTAGGGGCGCTGTGGCCCCATCACACATCGGCCCACATCAATGTTTTGGAGTGTCGCACGGTGCTGAATGTGATTCAACACTTTGCTCCCGTGCTACAGAATCAACATGTGTTGATTCACACAGACAACAAGGTGTCTGCTGCGTACATAAACCGACAGGGGGTGTGCGTTCAGCCCAGATGTTACACATTGCATGAAAGCTTCTGTGTTGGGCTCACCAAAATCTGCTCTCCATCAGAGCAGTTTACATACCCAGTGTTCTGAACAGAGGGGCGGATGTGATGTCCAGGGGCGGCCCACGTCACGCGGACTGGACTCTCCATCCAGACCTGATGGCTCAGACGTGGCAGAAGTTTGGCAAAGCAGCTGTGGACCTGTTTGCGACACGAGAGAACGCTCAGTGTCAACTATGGTTTTCCCTGAGCCCACGAGACGAACCACCGCTGGGGGTGGATGCGTTTGCCCACAGCTCATGGCCCAAAACGCTTCTGTACGCATTTCCTCCACCTCCTCTGATTTTACGGTTCCTGAACTGAGTTCAGGAGGAGGGATTGACAGCTCTCCTGGTGGCCCCCGAGCACGTGAACGCACCATGGTTTCCAGTCCTGCAACGTCTGTTGTCGGGGCTCCCGTGGAAACTGCCGTGGAGGGAGGATGCTCTCCTTCAAGCAGGAGGAGCGATCAGGAGTTACTCAGAAATAGGCCAGCACCTGTGGGTCTGGCCGCTGAGCGGTCCCGCTTAGAGAGGATGGGTCTCCCACAGGAGGTAGTGCGCACAATTCAAGATTCACGTGCTGCATCTACCACAGCTCTGTACACATCAAAGTGGGCAGCTTTTCAGCGCTGGTGTACAGAGAAAGGTTTAGAGGCCACCTCGTGCCCATTAGGCGACGTGCTGTCCTTTCTACAACAGCTGATGGACAGGAAGTTGGCATTCAGCACGATTAAAACGTACGCTGCAGCCATTTCTTCCTGCCACGAAGGGTTCGGAGACAGAACAGCTTTTAATCACCCGCTGATGAAGCGGTTTCTAAAAGGCGTACAGAGACGCAGGCCTGCTTCACGCCCACTTGCTCCACAGTGGGATTTAACGCTGGTTCTGCGAGCCCTGATCAAGCTCCATTGAGCCTCTGTATCAGTTTTCACTTAAATTCTTGTCTCTTAAAACAGCCCTGCTGCTGGCTTTAACATCTGCTAAGAGGGTGAGTGATTTATCTGCCCTCTCTGTCGCTCCGTCATGTCTCAGAATCCAGGCTGACGGTAGTTCAGCTGATTTAAGACCAAACCCAGCTTTTATGCCTAAAAACATCACGAGCTCTTTTAAATCAAGAGTGATATCGTTGGAGGGGTCCCCCCACCCCCCACACACACATCAGAAGAAGAAGCATCTTTCCATCTTCTCTGTCCGGTGCGGGCGTTGACGTGTTACATAGCGCGCACAGCTGTAATGCGTCAAACTCAACACCTGTTTGTGCATTATAGAGATGCATCTGCAGGTCGCCCGTTATCCACCCAGCGCTTGTCACACTGGCTGTGTGAGGCCATTTCTGAAGCCTACAGAGCATCAGATTTAGAGCCTCCTGTCAACCTCAAAGCAAACTCGACCAGGGGTATCGCATCTTCGACTGCCTTGCATAACGGTATGTCAATGCAGGACATTTTGCACTACGACCGCGTGGTCAACACCCTGCTCATTCATTCGCTCTTATCTACGTGATGTGACGGCCCGTTCCATGACACATTCTGTCCTTAGTGCTCTAACAGAATGAATATTGTTGTTTTCATGGAAGTCTGTTTAAGCTCACATCTGTCTGCATGCATTACAGTGTGAGATGTTATCAGTCACAAGTTGTGTCTGTGATTTTGGTTCTATTGTCACTAATCAGTTCATGACTATTGTTACCAATCAGTTCATTTGATTAATAATCAGTTTATTTGTTGTTATTAATCTGTTTATACTGTTCAGCCATGAATTAGTTGGTTCATGCCCCCCCCCCCCCCCCTTCCTTTCAACATCTTCTCTTCCCGTCGAAATTTTCCGGGGCGTTCATGTTTTTTCAGAACGCATAGTTACACAACATGCGTCTGTGCATGGCACATAACTACGCAACGCGTAATTATGCACATGGGGAGCTGAGTGACAAGACTTTTTTGGGCAAGCTTCTGCTTCATACTGTGTTCGAATGGACCCAGTGAGGCGAGGACCACATCTGCTTCGCCCTTAACCCATCAGCGACAGCCTTAAAGGGCGAAGCTTATACGACATAGAACGTTGGTTACGTACTGTAACCCCAGATTCTATGAGTATAGGCGTAGCCCTTTAAGCGTCGGGCCTCACTGGCTCCTGAATAGCTGAAGAAAAAATAAAGCTATTTGGGAGCAGATTACCCGCTCTTAATGTAACTTATACGGATCGGGTGGGGCCCACACAGCAGGTGGGCGTTTACTAATTTTTTTCAGTGTGATGCTTACGCATAACGGGATAAACCCACTAAGCGAAGGCCTTAAAGGGCTACGCCTATACTAATAGAATCTGGGGTTACAGTACGTAACCAACGTTTTGCATGCTTTTCCCAAACTTCATTACAGTAGATTAAATATGGAACAATTTATTTTTCTATTTTTATTCTTAATAATTTACATGAGATTTCCATGTCAGCTTCTCATCAATAACGACACCCAAACATTTATTTCACTAACTCTGTTTATTAAACTTATTATAGTCCGAGTCAAAAACCATCCTGAGATTTGTAACAGACTGTTTTAGATGTGGCTGAAGGAGTCCATGTGTACAGGATGGCTTAAACACCATGACCTCAGTTTTCTGATCATTAAAACTTAAAAAATTGAAGCCATACATGCCTTGATATCATCGAGACATTTTAACAGAGGGTGAATGGAGCAGGAACTACTGGGTTTAAAGGGCAGATATATCTGACAATCATCAGCATAACAATGAAACAAAGACCATGTTTCCTCAGGATAGACCACAAAGGGAGCAGATACAGTGAAAACAGAAGGTGTTCAAGAATCGAGCCCTGCAGAACACCACAGGAAATAGGCACTGAAGCAGATAAAATATTACGAACATTAACACAAAAGCTCCTGTCACTCAGATAAGAACGAATCCATTCTAATGCTGCACATTCATCAGGAAGTGATGTCATTAGCTCCCCCTGCACTCCGACTTTAACATGTCGTCTTTCCACAGGACGGAGCTTCCGGAGCAGCCGAATCGTCCCGTATGCCGCCAACCTTCTCTTCGTTCTGTACGACTGTCAGCGCGGCCCGCGGCTTCAGTTGCTCATGAACGAGACTCCGGTCCGGTTCCCGGACCTGCCAGACGACACGCCACTCTACCGTGATGTTCGGGCTGCATACCGGCACCTGCTGGACGGCTGCGACTTCCACAGGGAGTGTGAGGGCAGGGCAGAGGGCCGGGGGCCCAACACGGAACTCTGACCTCATGATCCCACCCCCAGCCATAAGTCCCGCCCCCTCAGAGCCGAAAGCTGGCGTTGGAAGTCAGAACTGTCTGGATCTGAAGCCTCAGATAAGTTTCCTTCATGAGACGAGCTCATGATGAACTCCAACAAGATGGAGTTCAAACTTTGACAAAGGTAGGGTAGAACGTAGTGAGGTCTCACTCTGACAGATTTTTGGTGAACTGACTTAATTTTACTTGAATTTTTGCTTCTTGAAGCTTTAATTTGACTTTTAATTTAGCTGATTGTATTGGCTCCACCACAATAAAAACAGACTATTGTGAATGTCTGACATCAGTACTTCCTGTTGTGTGTTTTAAATTTTCTGTTTTTAGGGTGAAATATTTTATTTTCTTGGTGCCAAATCATTTTATTTTATGGGAGCTTTGTTTGTTGAAAGTTTCAAAATAAGAGCTTTAATAAAGTGTTTTTCAATAATTGAAACAAAAAAGTATCTTGTTTCTGTTTTTATCAAACAGTTTTATGACGTTCAGAAATCTGAAAATCAAACATTTAACGTTTTTTAGAACTTCCTGTTTGATTCATCAGAGATAAACAACAACAACAAACAAGCAGTGTTTACATCTTTGTTTATTGAATAAACGCAAAGATCTGGATCAGAGAATAAACAATCCACAGTAAAATGTAAACAAACTAACAGAAATAAATAAATATTTCTTCTAGTGTGGAACGTCAAAGGTTTTCAGGCTCCGCCCAGGAAGTGATCTAAAATCAGATAAAAGGATGAATGAGAGCTGAACGTAATCAACGATCAGCTGATTTATTGGTTCTGATCAGTTACTGATGAACATGTCGGGTCAGTCCAGTCCACTTCAGCAACACAACTCCCAACTTCTGATTAACAACCAGGCTTGGACAGGATTTTCACAATAAGAGCACCTCTGAGTGGTCCCAGGTCGTTGCTATGGTAACAGCAGAGGTGTAACGGTGAAGCGCAGTTTCTTCCTTTGTTTTTGGAGGCAACAGGAAGTAGAACCGTGGTCAACAGGAAGTGGTGACCCGTGCGTTCAGTCCAGAGCGGCGTGCAGCAGTGCGCCCTGACCGCCCGCAGTCTTCGACTGCTTCATCTTTGAGACGGCGGTCCGCAGGTCCGTCTGAGCGATGGGACGGATGGTGTCTTCCGAGATGCTGGGGAACGACACGTTAACGTTTGCATGTGCACGTGTGTGTGAACGTGTGTGAACAGGAACCTGTCCTGCAGCTCACCTGTCGCTCTGGCTGTGGACAAAGTCCCGGACGCAGAGCAGCGCGGCGTCACGACACATCTCTCTGAGGTCACTTCCTGAGAAACCCTCAGTCTCCATGGCAACATCTCTGAGGTCCACACTGGAGTCCACCTGCACGGGAGACAAGTGGACGCTCGTCAGCTGATGTCAGGTTTGTGTTTGATCTTAAATTAACAAATGAACTTTTGTCAACACCTTTATTATTTTTTCAAGTTCATTTTTAATGTTCTTGACCGAGCAGACTCTGAGGTTCTGCGAGAGAAAAGGAACCCAGTGAGTGGACGGGCTGCCAGGTAAACGGATCGTTGTCCCTCAGGTGTGTCCAGTACCTATCTTCACATGTGCACCCATTTCCCAGCATGCACCATCACACCCAGACCTCTAGCAGCTGCCCGGCAGCAGACAGAAAGTTGTTGAAACGAGTGTCCCTGATCCAGGACCAGGATGTGAACTCACCCTCTCATTGTCCAGGATGAGTCTGAGGATCTGCTGCCTCTGTGCAGCGCTCTGTAGGGACAAGCATCATCATCATCATCATCATCATCATCATCATGGCAGCAGGGTCCTGTTAACCCACCAAGACGTACCGGCTGGTTGATGTGGAATCTGGTGGGCATCCGTCGGAGGATGGCAGAGTCCAGGTCCTGGGGACGGTTAGTGGCCCCCATGATGATGACCTGACAGTGGTGGTCCGTGTCCAGGCCGTCCCACAGACTCATGAACTGAGCCTTCATCATGGCCGTGGCCTCGTGGTCCGACGTGGACCGGTTCCTCAGGAACGAGTCTGTCCACACACACACACGGACAGCCTGTAGGTGTGTGTGTGTGTGTGTGTGTGTGTGTGTGTGTGTGTGTGTGTGCGTGTGTGTGTGTGTGCGTGTTCTCCTCACCGATCTCGTCGATGAAGATGATTGACGGCTGCAGTTTGACAGCCAATGAGAAAACGGCGGCAGCCAGCTTCTGGGACTCTCCGTACCATTTGTCCGTCAACGTGCTTGGCTGCAGGTTGATGAAGCGAAACCCCGCCTCCTTCGCCGTTGCCTTGGCAATCAGAGTTTTACCACATCCAGGGGGTCCATAGAGCAGCACGCCTGTTACCATGGAGACAGGATGCGTTTTTACTTCACGGTTCTTTAAATTAAAACTTTTTATAAAGTTAGAAAAAAATGATCTGCTAAAAACAATGTCAAATATTAATTAATAATATTGTTTTAAAAGAAAAAACATTAGTTGTAAAATCAGTTTAAGATTGTGTTACACGTTTGTTTTGTGTTACACGTTTGTTTTTGTGTTACACGTTTGTTTTGTGTTACACGTTTGTTTTGTGTTACATGTTTGTGTTACACGTTTGTTTTGTGTTAAACGTTTGTTTTGAGTTACACGTTTGTTTTGTGTTACACGTTTGTTTTGTGATACACGTTTGTTTTGTGATACACGTTTGTTTTGTGTTACACGTTTGTTTTGTGTTACATGTTTGTTTTATGTTACACGTTTGTTTTGTGTTACACGTTTGTTTTGTGTTACACGTTTGTTTTGAGTTACACGTTTGTTTTGTGTTACACGTTTGTTTTGTGATACACGTTTGTTTTGTGATACACGTTTGTTTTGTGTTACATGTTTGTTTTGTGTTACATGTTTGTTTTGTGTTACACGTTTGTTTTGTGTTACACGTTTGTTTTGTGTTACACGTTTGTTTTGTGTTACACGTTTGTTTTGTGTTACATGTTTGTGTTACACGTTTGTTTTGTGTTACACGTTTGTTTTGTGTTACACGTTTGTTTTATGTTACATGTTTTTGTGTTACACATTTGTTTTGTGTTACACGTTTGTTTTGTGTTACATGTTTGTTTTGTGTTACATGTTTGTTTTGTGTTACATGTTTGTTTTGTGTTACATGTTTTTGTGTTACACGTTTATCACGTTACACATTTGTCTCATGTTACACGTTTGTTTCTAGTTACGTTTGTTACGGGTTTGTCACATGCACATGTTTGTTTCATTTGCTAGTGAAGACTGTCGGTCATCCAGGACTTGGTCAATTAAAAAAAGTTCAAGAGAAAAACCAGTGGACGTATCTTGTAAGATGTTTCGTCGTCTGAGGATCTTTCTCAGTTCAAAGAACAGAGTGGGGTTTTAGTTATGAAGCTGAGGTAAGATACATGCATACATAAATATATTGCCCTCTCAGTCCTCACAATAAGAGGTTTGTTAGTCGGAAAAAACAAAAACTGGAGAGAAAAAAGAAACTGTCCAGATGATCTGACTGAACATGTTTGGATTTGTACGTGGATTATGGAGCATGAACTTTTTGTCTTTGTTAATCTGACTCAGAGGGGCCGCTCTGGTCACATGGATGAATTTCCTGATAGGTGTGAAAGTGACTGGGTATCAGGCCTAAAGCTGCATTACTGTATTTTCCACCGTACACGTCGCACCGCCCTATAAGTTGCATCAGTTCATATTTGTCTAATAAAGTGGAAAAATCCATAAATAAGTCGCTTCGCTGTATAGGTTGCATCTATTATGCGTCAGCGGTGACACGTCGCGTTTGTTACACGTAACCGCTGACAACCCGGAAATGTGGACGGGTGTTGTGTCAAAAACCGATGAGCTGCCAAATGACAGCCACGGGAGCGTGCACGGGAGCACTCTAACAAGATTTTAGCAAGATAAACACTTAAAAACAATTATTTGTTTGCTCAAAATTACAGTAAAGACGTGTCTCAATCTAACTTTTGCTTCATAAATGCACTTTAATGGTCAAACCAGCTGCATATCGCCGGGCGGTGCAGCTGGTTTGATGGTTCCAAGCAGAGAGCAGAATGAAGGTGGGGACCCTATGGCAGGCTGATTGAGTCATTAAAAGCTGGTGAAGACCGTCAGTCATCCAAGACTTGGTCAATTCAAAAATGTTCGAGAAAAACAAAGTATAAAGTATAATAAATAAAGTTCAGTTGTTTTTGTCTTTAACTTTCTTGAATTTGTCATTATAGCAACATTTACCTATTACATGATACAACAGCATGCCATACTGCTATTGCTACTCTGCTGCCATCAAGTGGCTGAAAGTGGTATTGCTCTTTTTTTTTTCCAGTCAGAATGAATGAAAATGGTCATATCTCAGCCAAAAATTGGTTTATAAATATGGAAAATAATCCATAAATATGTTGCTTTGGCCTATAAATTGCAGGGCATGTAAATTATACAACAAATGAATTATAGGCCGAAAAATACGATATATGCAAATTTTTAAGTTGTAACCCACTGGTCCTGAATATTTGTGTTGGTGACATCCTCCTTATCTTGACTGGAGGTTTGTGATGAGGAATCAGCTCTCTGTTGTAATTTGAAGAACTTGCTTTTTTGATGTTCCTTGCTCATGTCATGCTGTGATAAAAGCACATGTTCAACAAAACAAAAGACAACAACACATTCAGGACCGGTGGCTTAGAAATTTGTCAAACAGACCCTGACACAGCCTGAGAAAGCTGTGCTGGAGGAAGGACTAAACTTTACCATCTCTTTTTTTGATTCATATGTTTATTGATATTTTTGCATAAAGAACAAAGGTGTTTACATATTCCAGGGTGTAAAAGTGTCGAGCATAAACAACCTGATTATTACACCAATGACTTTAAGATGCATGTTTTCAGGAACAAAGAACATACACAGAACACCTCCTATAGTAAAACACACGGAAAGAACATAAATAGTGAAAAAACACAAACACATGTACACATGCATATACAGGTCCTTGTCAAAAAATGAGCATATTGTGATAAAAGTCATTATTTTCCATAATGTAATGATAAAAATGAAACTTTCATATGTTTCAGATTCATTGCACACCAACTGAAATATTTCAGGTCTTTAATTGTTTTAATACTGACTCTCTCCTCCCTGGGAACACTCTCCATCACTTCATCCAGATCTTTGCAAAATGTATCTTTCTTCTCCACTTCACATCCAACCTATGGAGCATAACCAGTCAATAGGGAGCACCAGCCAGTGCATCTCAGGTTCTAGACCCAAGCCCTGGTAAATGGTGAAGGTTGTGTCAGGAAGGGGATCTGATGTAAAACACTTTTGCCAAAACCATAATGCAAAGCGAAACCATACCAGATCAGTCGAGGCCCGGGTTAACAATGACCTCCACCAGTGCTGTTGACAAACAGGGTGCTGGCGGAAATTGTGCTGTTAGTTGAAGACCAGTGACAACATTTAGCATCAGACCTTCTACTTCTACCTTCAGACACATCACCCTATCTGACACTCTCTTCACCTCTACTACATTCTTTGCCAACTCCTCCTTCAGGACCACCTCTACTCCATTTCTCGTTCTATCCACACCATGGTAAAACAGTTTGAACCCTGCTCCAATGCTGCGAGCCTTGCTGCCCTTCACTTGGTCTCTTGGACACATAAAACATCTACCTTCCTTCTCAGCATCATGTCAGCCAGCTCTCTACCTTTGCCTGTCATTGTTTCCACAGTTGCAACCCTCAGTCCTACATTCTTGACTTTCCTCTTCTCCCTCTGTCTCCTGACACGTTTCCCTCCTCGTGGTTTAGCTTTAGGACTGACACCCAGGCATTTTCACAACTATCAGGAATTTCAACCATGTGACCAGAGTGGCCCCTCTGTGGGTGGGACTAACAAAGACCCTAACAAACCTCTACTGCGAGGACCGATAGGGTAATCTATGTACTGTATGTCTAGCTTGAAGCCCACACTCCGTTCTTTGAACTGAGATAGCTCCTTGGACAAGAAGTGAAACGTCTTCTGTTACAAATAAAAGTCCACTTGTTTTTGGCTTGAACTTTTTTGAACGTTTCACGTTACATTTTTGTTACAAGTTTGTGTTGCAATTTTTTACGTTTGTCACATGTTGCATGTTTGTTTCATGTTACATGTCACATGTTGCATGTTTGTTTCATGTTACATGTTTGTCACATGTTTCATGTTGGTCACATGTTGCATGTTTGTCACATGTTGCATGTTACATGCTGGTCACATGTTACATGTTTCATGGTACATGTTTGTCACATGTTGCATGTTTTATGTTACATGCTGGTCACATGTTGCATGTTTGTTTTATGTTACATGCTGGTCACATGGTGCATGTTTGTTTTATGTTACATGCTGGTCACATGTTGCATGCTACATGCTGGTCACATGGTGCATGTTTGTTTTATGTTACATGCTGGTCACATGTTGCATGTTTGTCATGTTTCATGCTACATGCTGGTCACATGTTGCATGTTTCTTTCATGTTACATGTTTGTCACATGTTTCATGTTACATGTTGGTCACATGTTGCACGTTTCATGTTACATGTTTGTCACATGTTGCACGTTTCATGTTACATGTTTGTCACATATTGCATATTTCATGTTACATGTTTGTCACATGTTGCATGTTTGTTTCATGTTAC